TTTTATGTAAAAACTTGTTTATATGTATTTTGATTTTGACGGCAAACAAAACAACCGGTTTTATTTACTTGGCCCATTATACATCTAATATGGTCATAAATAACATTTTATTGATTAAAATCGAGTATTTGATGTGAAATATACTTTTGAAACACGTTTTTGGGCACGTGATTTTGGAAGTAGAAAAAAAAACTGGCTATGTACTGAAGTAGGAGATTGTATAGAACAGTCTTGTGATTTAAATTACGGGTTTAGTTTTACAGAAGTATTTTATTTTCTTCTAGCGGCCCGCCCTATCTTAGTCTGGGTGCTATTCCCAGGTTCGGCAAAATATTATTGGGGTTTTAAAAAAATCTCAGTAGTTTGGAATTGTGCCCGGTATATGGCAATAGGCTCACCCCTTATTATGTGGGACTCATAACATAAATAGTGAAAAGTGTTACGTTGTACAGACAGTAGCATTAAGGGCCGTAATGTGCACCTCTGGCTACACCTTCGGGAATAAAATGCGTGGTATTATGTATATGTACATAACATTTTCATAACATCGAATGTTTCTTTAATACAAAATTTTACACAACGATAAATTATTATCTAAGCACGTCAAACAATAATTAGCCAATTCGATGCAGTTATTCGACAGTTATGGGCGTACTTATGTTTGTCATTTAGGTTATCTATTTTATTAATATAGCTTAACTTTCAAGAAGCATTGCCTTCGTGGTCAAAACCATAAAAATATAGGTAGATACATAAGTACCTATATTATATGGTTGGAAATTTTCGCGTTTATACAGACATATTTAAGTGGACGTCTTAAGATAGCTTTGCATTGAAGTCCGTAAACTTAAACGTGAAGTTATATTTGGATTCTCCTCGTGCTTCATAATCCTATCCATCGTTCACTGTTAAATAAAGTAAAGGTCAAACTGGAAATTCGGTGTCGGTCGAATTTCACTTTTAACTTTGTAGGATCAAGGATTAAAATATCATACAAATACACGTACAAGAGTTCGGAAAAAGCCAGCCGGTGTATGTAGAAAGAAATCACCAATCATCAATACCAGATCTTAATATTTATTTAACACAATTTTCCTCTTCATTTGATGCTTCTTAAAATATGGTAAAACCATAGCATACGTGACTTAAACACAGACATGCATTTCAAAAGTAAATTAAGTAATATTTATTTAAATACTAATACTTCCACGTGGTTTGTCCATGCACTGGTCATAAGTAAGTAGGTATATTATTTCTTCTCTTTATCATTGTTATTATCGGTTTGTTTCCATATACTGGATGTAGACCTTTCTAATGAAAAAACATACTTTTTATAAGGCATGAAATGATTCTACTTGGGTGACTAAAAAGCACTCAGTTTCATTTTTTTATAATAATTATCGTGAGACACACTAAGTGATCGCCTATCGATGACATCGCCGCGACCGCGCACGCTGCTCATGAGGAAGAACCTCTCTGGGGTCGAAACGAGTAGAGCTTTTCTCAGTATTTTTACGAGAGTAGCCCGTAATTTTTAGTTAACTCAGTTTTATCTCCTGCTCCGAGCCGGAGTCACCGTAATATATCGCTTTTATTTAAGGACATGGCCAGGTTTTAACTCAAACATTCCTTCAATAAAATAACACTCTCAAAAATTATCGTGGCGCCCTCATTTAGCAAACTTCTCAAGTTTCTGTCAGCGATTCAGGTTTCTCAGACATCGCTGCTTGATCTATGTTAAACTAGCTTTTACCCACGGCTTCGCTCGCGTTACGAAAGGATAAAAAGTAGCCTAAGTGACATATACAAATACACACAGCGCCATCTATACCAATACTTTTGTTTTCCCTCGGGAATATCAAATCTTTCCGGGATAAAAAGTACCCTATTATTTAATCCGGACCTCTAACTTTTCGTCTGCGAAAAATCAAAGGAATCGGTTTAGTAGTTACGGCGTGAAAGCGGGACAAACAAACAAACAAACTCACTTTCCGATTTATAATATTAGTAGGGTCACCCGCCCTTAGTTAGTGATACTAGTGGAAAAATTAGGGATGATGCCAAAATCTATTCTACTATACCATCAAAATTAAAGTATAACCGGAATCGGTCTAGCCGTTCTCGAGTTTAGCGTATCTTATTTACATAGCCAGTCATATTTCTTGTTTAGTTATAATATTTTATTAAGAAGTAGTTATAGAATTCCCCGTCTACGCCACTCATACCTGACTACACGTGACTCCAACGCCATTGATCATCATATACGCAAAATGACGTCACTCCAAAAACTGGATTTGAAGATGGGCAGAAATATTAGTTATCCTTAACGTTGGGTTTGATATTGAAAGATAAATGATGCTTTTTGCTGTACATTTGTGGGCAATTATTAATATTATCGATTTTGTTTTTTTTGTAATACTTAATTGCCAAGTCCTATTATGTTTTGTGTGTGTCTCATCTTTTGTTAAATAGGTTGTGGATTAGATTCTTTTCACGCCTTTTATCCCTGAAGGGGTAGGCAGAGGTGCACATTATGCCACTGTACAATGTAACACCCACTTTTCACTATTTATGTTATGAGTCCCATGTAATAGGGGGTGAGCCTATTGCCGTATACCGGGCACAATTCCAGACTCCGTGCTACTACTGAGAATTTTTTAAAAACCTAGTAATACTTTGCCCGACCCGGGAATCGAACTCGAGACCCCTTGCCCGCCAGTTGCACTTGCGACCACTCGGCCAACGAGGCAGTCAAATTAATAAATTTAGATTCTCACTTAGAACAAAATGCTTGTTAGATTCATTTGTCCACGACTTATGAAAATCTGACAAAGCGAACAAACTGAACAGCGAAATAATGCTCACTTGTCGTCGTTAATATTTATTTTTTATCAGTGTGCAACTCACTAACACGGGAAACGAATTTGTAGGAAACACCAACTTTTATTGCGGTGTAGATACTAAATTGTAATCATCAACAGCCTATAAATGCCCACTGCTGAGCAAAGCCTCTTCTCACACAGAGAAGGTTAGAGCATTAATCACCACGCTTGCTCAATGCGGGTTGGCGATTTCAAACTTATAATTAGAAATTATAAGTCCAGGTTTCCTCACGATGTTTTTCCTTCACCGATTGTCAGTGGTGTCTAAATAATCTTAGAAAGTACATATAACTCGGAAAAAGTCACATTGGTACTTGCCATTGGTAGGTTTCGAACCCGCACCCTCATGCATGAGAAGCGGGCGTCTTAAACCTCCGGGCCACTACGACTAAATTGTAATAGGTATATTAAACTTTGGTATGGTATATAACGCACAGAGTTTCACTGGTTGGATATACTCGCATCAACTAACAAGAAAATAAGGCGTACAGTGCAGTGACTAACTAATTTGTATCGTACCTACAAAAACGATTTTTTCACGTCGTTATCTAAGAAATTTTCTTCCAAGAGCTTACCTAATCTATTGCTATGCAGCCCTATATCTATAGATTGTCGCGGAGAACCTAACGGGTTACCGGGGCTCCGGCTCGACGCGCAGGAGAAGGAACGGGGTGGTTTTTAGTCAGTAAGAGTCCGACACTCCCTCCCGCCTCACCAAGCGATTCGATGATTTTCCCCCCTTAAAAAAATACCTATAGATTGCATAGTATCTATCATCCTATATTCTATCGTTTAACTTTAAATATTAAGGTGTAAATTTTTGAATGTCAACACCACAGTTTTTAACAACTTACCTACTTAAAGTATTCGATCGATTTTTCCTTAAAGGGGTTATAGAAGTTGATGGCGCACCTAGTCGGAATTTTAGTGTGATGTTAGTTTTTTGTTGTGCAAAATGGCCTTGTATTTTGCCATAAAGCTGACTGTCTAGACATAAACATAATTCATGTCTGGTATACCTAGAGGTTGGAGTTAGACATAACATAACAATGTTTCATTATTTCTCGAATGGATAGGCAAAGATCAGTAGTAATAGGCACTCTTTCTAGAGAGCTACAGGGCCTCGTAAATTTTAAATCCTATTTAATAATTTATTGTACTTATCCTTTCTATCATTGATTGCCATTTCTGTGATTATAATATTTTTGAAGTGAAATTAAATAATGCATCGGACCCTATCAGTAAGGTATAGCAAACGTTCATCACAACAAAATTTGCTATGACAATTTCTTAAGGAGTTAATTTGGGTTAAGGAAAATAAAGATAAACGAAGGACAATAAATATATTGTTTTCAATATACAAAACGAATTAATCTAAATATTCAATGAACCTAAAAAAACCTTTTTTATTAATGTGACCCTAATTCAAACCCTAAAACTGACACAGTATATTGGTATGCCGGCATAAAAACTTCTAAAACACAAAAATTTACATAACATCTTTGGTCGGTTTGAATAAAATCGTTTCCTAAAGACCTGTTAAATGCTTAATGGAGTAACAGACGGGTTAAGTCAACCGTTTGATGGCAAGATTTACAATTCAAAAGCCTCAATCATGATCAGTGATCGGATTTAGCCTTCACGTCATGTGTTCCAAGTGATTTTTGGGTTCACACTCGAGTTAGGGATTTGAGTAATAGAATTTGCATTGCTGATTCAATGGTTGACTTTGTAGATACTTGAAAGTCATGTGCTTTGATTAAATTGATTGTTAAATTGTAAGTGGTGATCAAGTAATAGGGTAGATGACTATTTTTTATTTTAATGCCAATCTGGTAGACTATTTGAAAAAATTGTAATATAGAGGTAATATGAAGTTTCATAATAACAATGTATTAATACTGAGCTAATAAGAATAATTAAAAAATAATACAAAAGTGATTTCCCTTGCGTGTTGATATGAATGTACTATAATAGTCATGCTTTTTTACATCAGCGTTGAGTAAGTTGCAGAAGTGAGATTGGGCTTAAGCGGTGTAGTTTTGTCTTCCTAGCTCCACGAAACAGATGTACAGTAGGTTTTAGTACGTATGTTAATCACAAACCATTTTGTTACAGATATAACTGGAATCAACACACAGACAGACACAACAGAATCAGTTGAAACAACAACTATCGACCTCAACTACACACACAGTGAAAGTTTCAGAGAAGCTAGAAATGATAATGGAACATATATTTTTGTAGCAGACGACGATGGTTTAAACGCAACTATATCCGAAGATTTTCCCCACGATGCACCAGAAAGTGCCTCCAGAGTGCTAGTTGCTAATAAACCAAATGGCACTAATGAATTCAAAATTGAAGATCATAAGGCACCAAGTACTCCAGTGAAACATCCAATCAAAATGCTACCAGGTGGAGATGTTCAACCAATAATTAGCAAAAATGTTAAAGATTCTATCAGAGCTCATGTAAGGTACGATGAAGTTACAGGGGAATTGATGAATGGAGATCACCCTTGTAATAGAGAATGTAAGGAAGGCGAAGAGCCAATGATTTGCTACTATCACTTCGTCCTGGAATGGTACCAGACGATGAGCAAGGCTTGTTACGACTGTCCGTACAATTTGACTGACTGTTCACGCCCTGATTGTATCCCTGCTGATGGAATGAATCGACCCCTTAACGTGGTTAATAGAAAAATGCCAGGACCTGCCGTCGAGGTAAGTTCAAATATTCTACAAATGTTTCTATAGTGCATAAATTTGCAGTCATTTAAACAAATCAATTCACATATCAAATTACATTATTTTAATTAAAGGTTGTATAGTAGTAATTTGATTCGCAATCAATTAATGAAATTTACACCAATTATAAAAGGTAAAACACATCAGGTTACCACTTAATAATGTTTATTCAATAAATTGTTACACAAAACAAAAATTTGCATAACATTGTCAAAACTATTTGTAGCTCGTAACAATTACGTATCCATACTTTTATTTAACGAGACCCAATTAAAACGACTCACAGTTTTATACAGAATTAAAACTACAGCGCTAATTGTCACAATATTGTCGCTCTCGGTCTAAAATTCTGCGCACAATATACATATTAGTTAGATGAAAAACTGGTGGCACGCTTTTTCTACTGAACATTTTGTGTAAAAAATTAACCGTGGTCGTGGTGGCCCAGAGGTTTAAGAGGCCCGCTTCTCATGCATAAGCGTGAAACCTACCAACGGCAAGTACCAATGTGACTTTTTCCGAGTTATATGTACTTTCTAAGATTATCTAGACACCACTGACAAACGGTGAAGGAAAACATCGTGTGGAAACCTGGTCTTATAATTTATAATTTCTAATTATTAGTTTGAAATCGCCAACCCGCAATGAGCAAGCGTGGTGATTAATGCTCAAACCTTCTCCGTGTGAGAAGAGGCTTTGCTCAGCAGTGGGCATTTATAGGCTGTTAATGATGAGTCAAAGGCTTAACAACACAATGACATGGCGGACTGCGATTGACTGCACATTAATCTTTCGAATTAAAAGATACAGAATCGCCTAGTTAAGCTGTCGCATAATCATTTTGCAGGTATGCCAACATGATCGTGTAATAGTCGACGTGGAAAATGACCTGATGACTGAAGGCACCACAGTGCATTGGCATGGACAGCACCAACGAGGTACTCCATACATGGACGGAACGCCATATGTGACGCAATGTCCTATATTACCTGAGACCACATTCAGGTAAAGATTGTTTTTCGTTTTATTTGTTGCTTAGTTGGAGTACAATCTATTCTTTGGCAGCAATGATAGGCAATGAGTATAATTTTGAAAAACTTCAGCATTTACATCTAACAATTAGGGGCTTTCCTTAATCAAAAATACATTATTTCGTCTGTTCAATACAATAAAATATTAAAAAATTATCACACTTTCATGAGCAAATTAATTTTAATACTTTTACAGCAAATTTTTAAGAAATAAGTATGCTGTTTGACGCTAAAAAAACGTGACGTCACAATACACAATCTCGTACAAAATTCATAGAATACTGTCGTTTTTGACAGTTCGAAAAAGTATTGAATTTGAATAGTTGGCAAGTTTTAGAGTTAAGAGGTTTCGCTAAATTCTAACTGGGATTGCCAAATACTGGGTTTTTTGAAGGATTATCTCCTGATTAAGCTTACGAGATCAGTTTCAGATTTAATTCTATTATTTTGAAAAGGTTGACAACTTGTTGCAGCTGTTCAGCGAAATGTTATCAAGTGCTTTTAATATTCCAAAAGTTGTTATGGCCACAGAACATATAAATCTTATTTATATGTTAATGTTCTTTATATGTTTGTATATGATCTGTGGTGATATAACTTTTTAGGTCTCCGCTAACTGTCTTTCAATAAAATAATTATTTTTCCAGGTATCAATTCAACGCTACACACGCTGGCACCCACTTCTGGCACTCCCACTCGGGTATGCAGCGGGCTGATGGTGCAGCTGGAGTCTTCATTGTAAGGAAACCTAAATCCCAGGATCCTCATGGCAGACTATTTGATTATGATCGGTGAGTGCCATTTACAATATCTAAATAAATAGAAGCATTAAAATGAAATTCGGACCTTTTTTATAAGCCACCCCAATGCTGCACTCTGTTTTAAAGTCCATCGTATGGAGAAGAATTCGGTTACTGAGAACTTTGAAATCATTAACCGAATTTTAAATCGATACAAATGGAAAGATTTTCATAATTAGCACAACACAACAACATAACATAACATCACGCCTTTTATCACCGAAGGCGTAGACAGAGGTGCACATTATGGTGCTGTACAATGTAACACTCACTTTTCACTATTTATGTAATGAGTCCCATCCCAAGTGATAGGTGGTGAGCCTATTGCCATTTACGGGTACATTTCCAAACTCCGTACTACTACTGAGGTTTTTACAAACCAAGTAATACTTTGACCCCTTGCCGCACTTGCGACCACTCGGCCAATGAGGCAGTCAAGTTTACTTAATCCATACAATACGGTAGATGACTAATTTTTATTTTAATGTCCGTCTGGTAGATTATTTTAAATCATTAGACATGTATTTTTTATTTTCTTACATATATATTAATTTGTAATGTCGCGTGACGTCAATTCTATGTACATTTTATACGTAGAAATGACGTTTTAGCCCCCACTTCTAAACTTTGATTCGTTATGTCTAAGTATTGTTTTATTATACGACAAAATAAAAAATACGTGTCTAATACTTTTTCATTACCTAACTTACGGACTAATAGATTAATACATAATAGATTTTTAATTTTTGTACCTTCTCATTATCCCAATTTGAATGATCTTCATAATTAGCAGTCAAGCTTTACTATGGAACACAACCTGTATATAAACAATCACTTTGTCCTTAAACAAAAAGTACCAAGGACAGAATAGACGAAAATCTCCAAAATGTAAATTGCTAATGTCTAATGCAAAGAGCTTCGATTCACCGCACCACAATTCAAAGGGCTACGGTAATAAAATCAACTATCAACTTGGAAACTGCAAAGGGTCGTCTAGAAGGGAACAAATTATGTTACGAACTGATCCTGGCTAGGTAGGACCGTCGGCTTTACTCGTGTCAATATTGATACGTACAGAGGTAGAAATAAACACTGTTTTGTAGAAGTCAAGGAGTTTTATTTGTTTCGGGTATTTAGTCTGTGGACATGGATTTAGAGGTGATTATAGTACTAGTTCGTTTAGTTAATGGAGATAGTTTGGTATTGGACTTATTTTAAACTAGCTTTTACCCACGGCTTCGCTCGCGTCACAAAAGGATAAAAGTAGCCTATACCAATACACACAGCGCCATCTATACCAATTCTTTTGTTTTCTCTCGGGAATACCAAAATTTTCCGGGATAAAAAGTACCTAATATTTAATCCGGACTTCTAATTTTACGTCTGCAAAAATTCAAAAAAATTCAAAGTGAAAGCGGAACAAACAAACAAACTCACTTTCCCATTTAGTAAGGATGCTAGTTGAGTAGGTTCAATACTATTTATTAGTGCTTCATGCACAAAGACTAAATAAGGTGGACTTGATACCGCAGGCATTTTCTCCCAGTCTGACCTTTGGGTGATGTCTACAGGAAACAGATTGCGTGGTCGCAAGTGCGACTGCCGGGTAAGGGGTCTCGGGTTCGATTCCCGGACCGGGCAAAGTATTACTGGGTTTTTTAAATATATCAGTAATAGCACGAAATCTGGATATGTGCCCGGTATAAGGCAATACGCTCAACCCCTATTACAAGTGAAACAAGTGAAACAAGTGAAACAAGTGAATTTATTTCTGCAAATAGGCTACAAGGCAGCACTTTTACACGTCAATTTTATCAAGCGAACGATGAGGTCGACATTTCCTAACTGACTACTCTGAGAAGAAATGCCGAAACAAACTCAGAGGTCTGTCTCTTTTAAATTACATGGGACTCACAACATAAATAGTAAAAAGTAGGTGTTACATTGTACAGTGGCATAATGTGCACCTCTGCCTACCCCTTCGAGGATAAATGGTGTAATGTTATGCTATAAATACAGCATTCAATTTTAAACTTTAAAAATGAATAACGAATAAAATACAAAAAGGCTTGAAAGGGATTCACATTATCTTTAGTACTACGACTTAGAATAACATTGTCTAAATAAATACTTTTAACAAAAATGTTATAGCAACAAGTCTATAATTTCGAGTCTACATTTTTATTTGTATGCGCTAATATTTGAAGCATGTAAATGTTAAAAGAACAAGTTTGCCTACCCCTTCGGAGATAAGGTGTGATTACCTAAAAATCGCGAGTTACTCATTTGAATATACTGAGAAAAGCTCTACTAGTTTCGAACCACAGAGGGGTTCTCCCTCATGAGCAGCGTGCGCGGTCGGGGCGATGTCGCGCAGCCTACTGATTACACAATTTTTTAGTTAATTTAGTATGTCTCACGATTATTATTAAAAATAAGGCGTGATGTTATGTTATGTTGTTATTACAGTCACAAATTAAACCCAAGACCTCAATTTCAAGTACAATAGCAACTATTTCTTGTTCCTTTTTCCGCCTATAACATCGAACTCATCTTTTACAGATCCGACCACGTGATGTTGGTAACTGACTGGATCCATGAGTTAGGGATCGGCATGTTCACCGACCACCATCACTCCAGAGGAGATAATAAGCCTCCGACGCTGCTCATCAATGGAGTAGGACGGTTCAAGGTCTTCAATGACACTGCTAAACCTATGTACATGAGAGCAGCCAGGTTTAATGTGGAACAGGTAAGGCTTTTTGTAGATTAGGACCTTTAAAATATCTTAGAGTGGTGAAGGTTTAAGTTAAGTTCAATTTCGGCATCTACGCTGAGCTCTGGCCTTTTTGCGCCGTCTTCACTGTATTATTTTTTCTTTCTTCTTTCTTCTTTCTTCTTTCTTTCTTTCTTCTTTCTTCTTTCTTCTTTCTTTCTTTCTTCTTTCTTTCTTTCTTCTTTCTTTCTTTCTTCTTTCTTCTTTCTTCTTCTTTCTTTCTTTTCTTCTTTCTTTCTTCTTTCTTCTTTCTTTCTTTCTTCTTTCTTTCTTTCTTCTTTCTTTCTTTCTTCTTTCTTTCTTTCTTCTTTCTTTCTTTCTTCTTTCTTAAGTAATCCGAACTGTTTGACTTCAGCTTATTTTAAATTAAGATTTGTTGGAGTAAACAAGACTAATTTTAAAAACTATAAGGGTTAAAGTTTAAGTGTGTCTAATTCTTCTTTGTAACGAATGATTAGATTTTTTTAAGCCATACTAGTCTTGTCTCCTGTGTCGTGTGTGCGTACAAACATACAATTTCACATACACATCACACCCAGACTCGGAATAACAATCAATGGATCACATAAAGAGTTGTTCTGTGCGGGAATCGAACCCGCGACACGTTGCTCGGCAGCCAGTTGTCCAGCCACCGCGGCAACCGTGCAGTCATTGAATGCCTATTTTTGATCATTTATGAAATTTGTAGACATCATGCTGAAAGATTCTAATAAAAATATTAAGCTAGAGTAAAAAATCAATACTAAAATATTTATCCTTAAAATTTACAACCTGATTCCGCACTTCCTCTTCAACGACAGAATCCTTATCACTTAAACTCAAACGCTTAAGCACTACCTTCAAAGAATCTCCTAACGATGTCGCCAGATGTATTTAACCAAAAACTTTCCTTATTCCAGGGCTACAAGTATCGTTTTCGCGTGATCAATGCCGAGTTCTTGAACTGCCCTATTGAGTTGTCTGTGGATGGTCATAATATAACGGTGATCGCTTCAGATGGTTACGACTTGCAGCCGATTACAAGTAAGTGATCATTGTAATAGTTATTGTAATGGCTGGATCCCGAGTGATGGAGTAAGACTGGCTTTGAATCGAATAGTAAACGTGGATACGAATGGATTTTACGGACTGCAGTTTCTTGCAATTGAAAATGGACGTTAAGTAGATTAATTTAAGGATGAAGAAGGGATGGAATGGAATAGTCCATGTTTGGACAATAGTAATTATAATGGGGATAATGACAGGGTGTGAAAATTAAAAATATAATTAGTCCGTAAGTTAGGTAATTAAAAAATATTAGACACGTATTTTTTTATTTTGTCGTATAATAAAACAATCCTTAGATAAAACGTATCAATGTTTAGGAGTGGGGGCTAAAATGTCATTTCTTAGTATAAAATGTACTGAGAAGTGACATTACGCGACATTTCAAATCAATATATCTTCGAAATTATTCGTTTCCGTAAGAAAATAAAAAAAACGAGTCTAATATTTTTAAATAATGTACCAGACGGACATTAAAACAAAAATTAGTCGTCTACCCTATTGTCTTCCATAATGCAAGGTATGAGAGGTCTTTGATTTACTAAAAATTAATAAAGAATTTCTTTTAGATAAAGTTTGGAATGGGACATAAATCTACTGCTAAACCTATCAACAGAGACCTAATTTCATAGGTTAAAGCAAGATAATACCTAAGATTAATGGTTATTCCCGATAATCTGCTAGTAAATGCTTAGGCTGACTAGGGTTGGGTTAGGTTAGAATTTTGACACATTTCATGTGGAGTTTAGGAAGAATTAACTGATGATTGAACAATCGGCTCTTAGAGATTTTTCAATCACCAGTTAATTCTTAACTGTAGAATAAAAATGACATTTTAAAGTTTTTAGTATGGAAGAAATGTCAAATATTCAAAGTTATTCCTCAGTTAAAAATCTGGCGTTGGACAAATCAGCCCTAAGCCTAATATCTATATGTTCAGTTATCGAATCAATCAATCAATTCATGTGTACGGCGATGAAACTATCAGAAAACGAAACCATATATATGGTTGGCAGGCCACAATTGTGCGCTTCTCACGATGCTGTCTGCCTCGCACAGCAAAACTGTGAAATAATCTGGCGTCGGTGGTATTTCCAAACCGATACGACCTTCAAACCTTCAAGAAAAGAGCGTATTCCTATTTAAAAGGCTGGCAACGCACCTGTGGCTTTTCTGGTGTTGCGGGTGTACATGGGCGGCGCTGATCACTTACCATCAGGTGATCTATGCTCGTTTGCTTCCTATTCCATAAAAAAACTGCAATTTATAGTCATGTTCAACCGGAAAAACCACCAGATAATCTTAAAATCACCGTCCTAATTGGCCAAACAGCTAACAGAAATGAAACGAACCAATTAATATTCATACAAAGGAAGAGATCAAATAAAACAAAACGAGTATCAAAAGATAAGAATACACGTAAAAAGCAGAAAAACATTAAAATCATCCCACGATCACAGGTCATATCAAACATAATGAATTGAAACGTCCATTATAAGGTACGTACGCACAAAAACGTCGAGTAGGTATTCGCTTTGATATTTTTCATTTTTATGTTCATTTACATTCAAATCCGTGGTTCCTTTTGTCATCTGGCCTGGGGTCGTCTTTGCTATTTTTTCCTCATTACCCGCCTATCTCATTCCGGGTGTTATTGTTATGTAGGTGTCGCCCAGAAGTTCCATAATCTTCTTTAGATGAAGATGTATTGTCCAAATCGCCGAGCAAGGGGTCTCGGGTTCGATTCCCGGGTCGGGTAAAGTATTATTTAAAAATAAAAATAATTGTGCCCGGTATATGGTGATAGGCTCACTCCTATTACGTGAGACTCATAACATAAACAGTGAAAACTAGGTGTTATATTGTATAGTGAAATTAAGTGCCGTAATGTGCATCTCTGCCTACCCCTTCGGGGATAAAAATTGTGAAGTAAAAAGAAACTAGATAAACGACTTTCTATTACTGTGAGGTCTTTACATAACAGGCTAACCGTAAAACTTTTTGGAATTAACAGAGTATTTCAGTTTACACTGATGTCAAAAAATATACGATCACATTTGATAGGTAATAAAATTTGCTGTGACATTATAAAGCATCCTCTATGACCGAAAAAATGATTTTAAAACGAAGTTATAAAAATATTGCCGCATAAACTTCTGTATTCCATTATATAGTGGTTTATCATTGTGACCCGATAGCCCTAGGCTTTGTTTGAGCCAGTGTGCTGCTAGTATTACTGGCTTTTAATCGTTTGTGCAAATTTGCAGGACTTAACAACCTTTTGACCTTGATAGCAAGCGGTTAGCTTATGTATGACGTAGAACTTTAATGCATTTTTATCCTGTGTAAAAACTTTACAGTAAAATATGTAACAACCATTATCATATCAGTGGTAACAACCCTTACTTCTCCTATAGGTGTTATAATAACTGATTAAAAAAGATATATTGGACAGAAATCAGGCACTAGCTCTCTCTCTCTCTCTCTCTCTCTGTCTCTCTCTCTGAAACCTTTGAAATTGTAACCTTCAACATAACCAACTAGGTTGGAGGTTGTAATATTACAACCTACAGGCTATATTGCCTAATGTGGAGATTATGGCAAGCTAGCTGTTACCCGCGACTTCATTCGCGTGAAATTATTCATATTTCACGTTATTTTATACTTTTTTCACGCGACAACGTGTCGTGTTGATTGGCGAGGCGTATTTAGGAGCTAGTATGAAACGGAACGTTTATTGTCTACTCAAGATGGCGACTGCGGTTTGTCTGTCAGTGTCATTAAAATGAAAAAAACCAAATAATCTCCGTAATCCGAATTTTGCGGATATAAGTTGTCGACTCGAAATCAATATTTGTTATGTTTTGTTATTCAGGTAATGTTTCGATCGAGTCTACAATATCCCTTAACGAAATTATTAATATAGAGATTATCTTCTGTAAAGGAAGCCGATACTCCGATAGTCGACTGTCACGGGTCAGCGATGATTCGTGTGTATTCTGAACACCATATTCATAATTATGTTCTTTCAAAATATTTCATAATTTTAGAAAATAGGTAAAACAAATCCATTCTCACATATTAGAGCCAAACATTTCGAGAGATAGGATAATTTAAGCTCGCATTAGTGCAGTCGTTGCGGATACGTTGTTATCACATCGTTTGCGAACGTATGTACCACTAGCTTCCTCTGAATATCACCCACTAGAGATTTTTCGTCAAACATTGGTGGTTATTGGCTAATGTTTGATTGTTTGTAATTTTTTCAATTTATTGGTTTATGTAGTTCTGTATAGTTGTGTTTCTATGTTGGTAAAGTTGGTGTGTAAGTAAGATTCAATAACGAGGTCTAGAATTACAATTGTTGAACACTAGTGCGATGCTAAAATAAACGTCAAATATTTCTAGTCTCCAAAAAAATTGCAACATGAAAATTGAAACTGTTTTTATACCAAAGAACCAATCAATATCGTCTATCGACAATAACTTCTAATTAAAAAACGAAGTTCCAATAAAAGCGCCAACGAAATTAAATCGTCAGCTGTAAACTGGGAAACTAATAAAAAATTCGCTTTCAGTGGCGAACAATCAAAAATTTTAAATAATACAATCAACGGACAAACGGAACGTACTAATAGGAATACAGTACAGCGAATGAAAAAACTGGAAACTGAAAAATCAAGTTGGTTTAAGGGCGACGCGGAACAAATTGTCGGGGACGCGAAACTGGGAAAATGCATACGCCCAGTTAACAATGTAGAAGTGAGGGGGAAATAGGAAAAAAGAATTAATTGAAACTCTTGTCATCTCGTTATTAAATGCAAAATAGATTCGTTCGTTGGTTCCCTGCGCGACACTTGTGTTGCGGTGCTTTTGGTTAATATGCTTCAGATATTTAATGGTTTTACATACTTGTGCGGTATTGTAGAAGAATTATGGTTCTTCTTTGATGTGTTCTTTTTCTAGTTTGATTGTGAGGACACAATTTGCGTGAGGAAAAAACATTTTTGCAGCATTCCAATCTAGTAGGTAATCGGTTAAAATTATACAGCAACAGAAAATGTCATGCAGAAAGAAATGTCATTTATTCATTGCCTGTAGCCCTCAAGCTTTGTAAATACCGTTTAACATTCTCAAATCGCCCAAATTAAACGTCATAACAATTATAAGCATAGCAAACCATCGTCAAAACTATCCAAACATTCAAAAGGAAATTAAAATCCGATATTTGCTCAGAAAACTTTCACCGAACTAATATCAGAATTAAAATCAACATTAAATTCTAGGAGGGCATCGTTGGCGTTTAGTTGGCCAGCTTTCATGCTCATCCCCTTTCGAAATTTACATATTCAAATGTGCACGAAGGATCAAAGAACTAGATCTGTTACGTAGACGTTTGGTGAAAGCGTTAGTTGGTTGAAAGCCGGTGCCTGGTCCAACAAAATTGGCAGGCAAAGTAAAAATATTTGATAGATTCACTACGGCTAACTTGAGGTTTGCTTATTCAGATTTATGTAAGGACAAGTGTTTAAAGTTGCTTTTTAAATCATATCACATATGTTACTACTAATTTCAATTTTCAAGTGTGGGAGAGCTATGCTTCGGCAGGAATGGGCCGGCTCGACCGGAGTGATACCACGGCCTCACAGAAAACCGACGTGAAGCAACGCTTGCGTTGTGTTTCGTCGTGTGAGTGAGGTTACCGGAGGCCCAATTACCCTCCCTTTCCCCATTTTCCCCAATCTCTGAATCCCCATCGATCCTCAAAGTCCTAATCCCCAAAAAGCCGGTAACCCACTTGTAACGCCTCTGGTGTTCCAGGTGTCTATGGGCGACGCCGATTGCTTACCATCAGGTGATCCGTCTGCTCGTTTACCGGCCTATGCCATAAAAAAAGACGTGTTGCTGATTTTAATCTTTTGCTAATTCGATTCATTTTAAATTTTTAAATCTGATGGTCCAGACAAATATCAGTTAAT